AACCCTTCGACTCAGTGATGGTTCCGCCGCGTTGACTCAGCATCAACGCGCCAAGGCCTGGCGCACTCATTTTGCCGATCAAGAAGCTGGGGTCTCTGCAACCGAAGATGACTATGTTGCCCTTTTTAAGACCTATGCCCGGGGCAAGCCTTGGGTCTTTGACCTTGGAGCGGTCCCTACTCTGGGACAGATAGAGAGTGTCATCCATACCTTGCAGCGAGGTAAAGCAGCAGGTGGTGATGGCATCACAGGGGAACTTCTGCGTGCTGATGTAGTTCGAGCTGCTAGGCAGCTCCTTCCTGTCATTATGAAGTCAGCGTTACGTGCCAGAGAGCCTGTCACATTTCGTGGCGGTGGCTTAGTGCTCCTCGCTAAGCGAGCTTCCAGTATGCTGACTTGCGACAACTATCGCTCAATCCTCATTTCATCCGTGCCAGCTAAAGTCTATCACCGTTGCCTCAGGGAACAGCTCCAGCCTACATTTCAGGCCCACCGTGCTGCCTTTCAAGGTGGCGTCTTGCCAGGGCAAGGCATTGAGCTGATCTCTTTAGCTGCCAAGACCTTCTTCCGCATGTGCAACGCCTCTCAGCGTCGGGCAGCCATCATCTTTTTTGATTTGCGTGCTGCCTTTTACCAGGTCTTACGGCAGTTGCTTGTGGATACCAATGAGTGCGAAGTTGCCCTTCTCCGGCTCTTTCATCGCCTTGCGCTCCCTCCTGCGGCCATCCAGGAGCTGAGAGACCATCTCTGCAAGGCTACAGAGCTCGAAAGGGCTGAAGCAAGTAGCCACACCAGAGCGTTGATTGCCGACCTTTTTAAAGGGAGCTGGTTCAGGCTGTCTGGCAGTAGCTTGCTCACGGTCACTTCACGTGGCACCAGACCAGGAGATCCTACAGCCGACATCCTTTTCGCCTTCACGCTGACAGCATTTGTCAGAAGAACGGCCCAGGTGCTCAAAGAGGCAGGACTCTGTGCTGACATACCCTTTTGCACGCAGCGACACCCAGCTATCGACCACCAGGGTGCAGTCACTCTGGATTGCCCTTCATGGGCTGACGATTTTTTGGGTCCTCAGACTGCCCCAGACGATAGTCTTCTTCTACAACGTGTAAGGTCCAGTGTCGCCTGTCTATCTGGGCATGCCACTGGTCTCGGGATGACGGTCAAGTACGGCGTTGAAAAAACAGCGGTCCTCCTTCCGGCGACCATCCACCAGAGTTCCCCTCTCCTTGACCGCAACGAGGAGGGGCAAGCCGGGGTGCTGTTCACTGATCCTACCTCGACTGCCGCGCAATTTTTGCCGGCTGTTGCGGCATACAGGCACCTAGGTGGTATCATTACAGCCAATGGTGACCCTGTGCCAGACCTCCATTTGAGGTTCGCAAATGGCATTAATGTGGTCCGCTTTGCGTAAGTGTTTGTTTGGGGCCCGGCGCTTTGATCCCTGTGCGCCGGACCCTTCTACGCTCGCTTGCGGTTTCGCGGTATGTTCACACGGCCTCAGCCCTCTTGCTCAGCACAGCCAGACAGGTGCGGGTGTGGGAAAAACACTATGTCCGGCTCTGGCGGGCTTTAGTTGCCAGGACTGCCGCAGATTCACAAGAGCATAGCTATACTGTGCTGCTCGCTGCAGCTGCGCCCCCACCACCACTTGCGCTTGCTCAGGCCAGAGCATCCCTGCTCACTAAGCTATTCCTTCGTGGACCCGCAGAGCTCTTGGCACTGCTCTTTGACCATTGGGTCACTCACCCCAGATCCTCATGGCTATCCCAGCTGCAGCAGGACTTCCAGTGTGTCAGCCTGTACGTTCCCTCCGTCAAGCATTGTGTTTCGACGAGCGACGTTGTACCAGGCATCCTGGCTTCACTGTCCGAGGACCGGTTGTGGTGGCCTAAGCAGGTCAAGCAGGCGTGCAAAATCTTCCAGGCTGACCTGGAAAGGTGGAACCAGCTTCGCAAGCTTTCGAAGCCTTTGAAGCCTACTGCTAAGGCCGCAGTTGTTACTCCTGAAGACTGCCCGTTTGTTTGCCGCCTTTGCAGCGCTTCCTTTCCCTTGCGCAAACATCTTCATGCGCACATGGCGAAGTCGCATCAGATTTACAGCCCAGCAAGGCATTTTGCCATAGGACCACGCTGTGAAGCTTGCATGAGACACTATGGACGTATCAGCCAAGTGCAACAGCACTTAAAGCAGTCCTCTGAGTGCCTCCTGCGTTGCCTGTTTCTGTTCCGTCCCCTTGAGGTAGACGAGATCCACCAACTGGAGCAGCCGGACAAGCAGAACCGCAAGGCTGTCGCCAGCGGTAAGTGGCAACAATTCCGATGCAGTGGCCCGCCACAACGTGTGCCTGTGGAGTTTGGCCCACGCTTGCCGACTGCAGCAGAGCGTCGTGTGCCGCCTGATCCTACAGAGCAGGCTCGCCTCAGCACTCTTGGCAAGCATTACATCCCTTCTGCCGACTGTCAAGCTTGGATTACCGGGCACGTCGATGCTAAGAGCCAAGAGGCTCCCCGCCAGTCGGCGTGCACTTTCTGGCAGAAGCGACCCGTTTCACCCAGCAGAATTTAGTGCAAGCAATTTTGGGGCGCACTTCCCCGCGCTGTAATACACAGCCAGAAGACCGGATGCCCAACCGTTAACCGTTATACTATTTTGGGAATTCTTTATTATACTTATACTTATAGTATAATATACCCCAAAACCCTATTCTAATTATTAAGGCCCCT